CACACACACACACACACACACACACACACACACACACACACACACACACACACACACGTTGGGATAGAGCAAGAAGAAAGAAGCTCCCTTAAGCATAATTTCCAAATTAGAATATGTCTAGCTGCAAAAGAAAAAACCCGAGAACTACAAACATTTAAATCCTAGCTGAGCCAGTGGTCTGGCTGATGAGGTCTCTCAACATTGCTGATAGAAGATACCTACTGTATATCTTGTGTGAAATATGTAGATTGTATGAATATTGTTTTATAGTAATTCAGCAATTTAATTAACATTCCCAAGTTGAAACTCCAGAGTGATTCAAACCATCAAAGTGTACATTCCCAAATCAATTTGGAAAGATTCAAACCGTATTAGAGATGTAACAGACTTTTGTATATGTGCAGATGTATTTTTTCTGTATCTGTCTGAAAATCCAAGTGTATTCAATTTCGGCATTGATATGTCCAAACTGCATTGCATCAATTTTCCAAATCTATTCAGATTGATTTTAATGATAATTTTCCAATGAAATTCTAGTAGAAAATAGGGCAAAATGTAGACTGATCTATGCTATCTTTAAATAATTACAGAACTAGTTGAACAGTTATATTCAGTTAGTATACGTCAAGTGACTTCACACTGAAATAGAAGGAGATGTCAAGTGGAATATTACAGGTCCTAGTTCTAGGCCCTGCATTCAACATATTTATAAATTACTTTCATAGGGGATTACAAAATATGTTATCCAATTTGTGGATAGTAAAAAGTTAGAGCATCTATTTTGCTAAGCATCTATTTTGTCAGTCTCAAAATACAGAGTTTTGGCAAGCTGGAACAATAGAGAGAATCCACAAAGAAAAAATTTAATATGTTGTCCTTCATTTGAATAGGAAAAATCAAAGAGAGATGTAACCTTAATATACAGCAGTACATGTGTAAAGGATCTGAATCTACAAATCAATTTGTATTTAAAACAACTCTGGTTCATATATTTGGTTCCCAGTTAGTGAACCAAAGAAAAATATAAAAACCCTACCAACATTCAAATTGATTTAGATAGTACTTGAGGTAATGGCTGATCTCTCAGGGTAAAGTGATTAAAGTTCTACACTGCATCAATAGGCATAACTTCAGTGAAATTCTCAATGATCACAAATGGTGTTTGATCTGGGGGGGGTGGGAATAGACATATAAAGTGTATTTAGTACTTACATGGTCAGGTTATTACCGTAAGTGCAAATACTTTACATCAGAGTGAGCCCCATAATAATATCATTTTTTTTAATTTCAGTGTAATGAAACTTCCTTCTTTTTTGAAGCACACAACAAAACTGCATGCAAGCATTTATGGAAATGCTGTGTAGAACAGCACACCTTCTTCAGGTAGGTGAGCTGAAACTCTGTGGAATCTGTTACTGAACGACAGTAAAAAGTATATCTGAGTAGTTTAGGGAAGATATATTTAAATCTTATCTAAAGTTTAAAAATCAAATGTTTTGGATTCTTTTGCTTGTCTAACTGTGTTTAGGATAAGTGTGCACATTTCATTAGACTAGTTTGGATCTAAAAATAAGAATGGAAGATAAGTAGCCACTGGTTTTGGTCTGCAACTGCACAAGCAAGTTTTTTCCAATTACAGTAATGAGTAAATCTGGGATGGTGATTTTGCTTTACTTAATCTCTCCTCCCCCCTGCTTGTTGGGGGATCCATTTTTTGTAACCCAAGAGGACCTCAAAGTCCCCTTCCAATCCTATAATTCTATGTTCTATGAATATTAGCCCTCAGACATGAATGAATCAAAAAGAAAATACAGGTAGTCCTTGACTTGTACCCACAATTGAGATTAGTAGTTCCATTACTAAGAAAGGCAGTTGCTAAGTGAGTCATGGCTAATCTTGCAATCTTTCTGCCACAGTTAAGTGAATCACTGAGAGTGTTAAGTGAATCACATCATTAAGTGAATCCGGCTTCCTCCATTGACTTTCCTTGTTGGAAGTTGACTGGGAAATGGGTGGGCTGCTGGGGGTTCGCAGGTGTTCAGAAGAACCTCTAGCTAAGATTCTGCAGTTCGGAGAACCCCCAAAACACACTCCCCACACTGCCCCTCTCAGGAGTCCCCACGTGGTCTGTTTTGGATGCAGGTAAGTGTGGCGGCTCAGGGAGGGTGAAAAACTGGCCTACCAGAAATTCAGGAAGGAAGGAAACGGGCCCGATTCCAGCCTCCCAGAGCCTGGGAAGGCCGTTTTTGCCATTGAAGAAAGTCTCCATAGTCCGGGGAGGGCAAAACACACCCACCCACCCACACACCCACACCTGCCGTGGTGCAGGAGGCTGACTAGGCCACACCCACGATGGCCATGCCCACCCAGCAATCGGGGAGATAACCCCTTACTAAAATTTTTGAAGCCCACCCCTGCTGGGAAAGTCTCAAATGGCGATCATAGAGCCCAGAATGCTGCAACCATCATAAATAGATGCTGGTATTTCAGTCCTGAAAGAAACATAGGCACTGTGGTCTCTGTTCTCACCTGAGAAAACCAGGAGCCATTTCTGTGTAAATATACTGCCAAGGATCCGACCTCCAATTGAATAAGGTTTGCCAGTTTGTTCAAGAGACTTGTTTTTTTAAGAGAAAAATGACGAGGTTTCTTTGGGCTACCCTCAAAAAACATCCCCAATGAAGATTTCCCCTTCCTCAGTCTTGTTCCTTTCTCAAAGTACCAAATATTCAGCATCCAAACCACAACTTATTGTTATTTCTTCTGTGGGGAAGGGGGAAATTCGTGTCATTTTTAAAATTAATATTTGTATGGATCTATTTGAATGAACTTTTAAAAAAACTATGTGATTTCCAGCTCCCAAAGAAAATAAAATACTGCAGTGAAAAATCGCCCTTCAATTATGATTGGGAGGGGAGGGGTGGGTGGGCTGCTGTGTCTCTTTGGTAGCCACAGTGAAAATAGTCATGGAAGTGCAGAGCCTGCCAGTAGAATGGAAAGTTTTTCAGTTTGTCAACTGCAGCCAGCACAACACAAATAATCTTGTGGCAGGTGTTTTTCTGAAATAATCAAACTTTATCTCAGACCAGCTTCAGCTTATAGAATGTTGGTGGAAAGATGGAGGGCTGGTTCTGAGCATGTGAGCCCTCAGTAATAATAGAGAAGGAGATTATGTGCGATCTATTTTTTCTTTTATTTATGGTTGGTCTTTTAAAGACAAATGCACTCTGTGTTTTAAATTGAAACAGAATGCCAGAAAATGAATCTAATTCTCTATCAAGAAAACTTGGCAAACTTGGATCTCTTGGTTATAAACATCGATACAGGTAAGAATAAGATAATATTACTATTGTGACTTGAAGCTTTAATTTCAAGATGCATTTATATGGGTTTTTTTTCTTTGTTCATGGAATTTGGAAGTTTATTGTTGCTGTGGTTTTCTATCCATTTTTTGAGACAGGTATAAGCACAGCTTTAAAGGGGATTTGAGGAACTCATCTCCAGCCTTTTATTAAAATTACAGCTGCAGAGTTTGTCAAGCTGAAATATGCTTTAATGTTTTAAGAGTTCTGTTTACAAATATATAGTTTGCTTGCTGATTATAATGGCATGTGGTAACTTATTTAAGTCAAGATTTACTCCTAGTAATTTCCTGAATATTCTGAAGAAGGGTTTTTTTTAGCAACTGTATAAAAATAAATTACTATTATCTTCAAGATTTTTTTTTCCACCCAATATTGCAGTCTAACTTACATCTCTGGAACTTATTGGTAATATCCCTTCCAGGTATTAACCAATTTCAGTTTTGCTTAGCTTTTTAAGATCCACCAAGGCCATTAAATGTTTCTACCTTGCTGGACTGCAGTATTATAAAAAATTGGATGGCTTTGTTTGTTTGTGATGGGGGACAATGTGTATGTACCTGTATATTGTTTCCTTCATGTATACTTGGAGTAGATAAGTTTCTTCTACTTGGAAAAAAACAATTACTTGAAATATTATACCTAGCATATTTTAAATTTATATTCTGAATCATTAGGACACTTACTGTTATTTTACATTCAGTGAATAAGATAGTTAGGAATGTAACTCTGTTATATTCTTGTGTAATATACATGAGAATAACCAATATACTCAGTTACTTAAAACTGAATATTTAGAAATTAAGCAAACTTGGTGCCAGCAAACAGTATTTGAGTTTTTGAAAGAGTCATAGGACACTAATGGTAATAAAAAACAAAGTTGTACAGCATTACCTTCTCCTGGGATTTCTTAATTTAAGTGTGACCTAAATAAAGTATGTATATTATGGTAGCTTATGAGAATCATGACTCTTCTTCTTTCTTACCCTCATAACTGAGTAAGCAGTTGAGTGCCACTCTGAAAAGTGATTAAATTATGATTTTAAAAAAATGTTAGCATGGACACATATTTGAAGATACGTGCCTAAGTTTTATGTACTGTTAGACCCCATCGTAATTGGGATAGTAAAATACATATTTATACACCACATTATATCTCTGCCTGATTTGCCTTGACAAAGCCTTGAGTTTGTTTTGTTTAACCTGAAAAAGTCATTAGATTAGATATGCAACAATAAAGAAGAAAGCACATATTAACAGTAGAATGTCTCTTTGTTCTAAATTGTTTTGTAAAGTATTTTCAGAACACATTGTTTGTCATTTGAATTCTGAAATTCTTGTAGGTTTTTTTTACATTAAGAGTCTAAATCTTGAATCTGGGCAATATAATTGACATTTGTTTTACTAACTGTAATTGTATGTGGAGCGAATTGTATACAATTCAGTGTGTGCAGAATGTGGAACTCTGTTCACTGCATCTGGTGTGAACACATTAATCTGCACTGAAGAAGCTACACTTCTTGACTATTAACCACTTAGTCAAGTTCAGGGTTTTGTTTTTGATAGATAATAGTATTTAATAGATTGGTATTCCAGGCCTGATTTTTTTTAATATGCTTAATTTGTACAAATCATCTTAGATCAGGGGTTTAAATTGGCAAACTTCACTCAATTTCTGTAGTTTATACACCCAAAAGAATATTTGTGTATTTAGGCCCTTAACACGAGATTTATGCACTTTATGTAGATTCTTCGTTAACTTAAGAAAAGTTCAAATGGAGAAAAAAATAGAAGTGTTTAACAGAATTATGAATAATATTATACAGTTAGTTCTATAAACAGGAATATTGGGACTTTAAATAAGGTTCCCTAGTGAAGGCAGTTAGTTTGGTTGCTACTTAAGTGGAGTAATTAAAGGGTACTTTTAAGCTGAAGGTAAAGATAACATTACTAATGAGCAGAGCAGTCCTTTGGAGGGTGAGATGGAGAATCCAAGGCGAGAGAAGTCTTCAGCAAGGTAGCAGGTTTTATTTTTATTACCTTATTTTGTTACAAACGGGGCCTTTCATTGATTCATATGGCAGGAAAATAAATGACTCCATTACTGGCATAGCTTTCTGTTCTTCTAGAGGCATATCAGAGGACAAAAGGACTTTGGGTCCAAGGGGAGCCTCTTTCTCTGCCATCATACTCCCTTTACCTTCTGTTTGGAACCAGAGGTCTATCCATAGACACATGGAGAAAGCTTCTAAAACACCATTTCTGAAGGCAGATCTCGGAATTCTTGAATCTTTGAAAGCCTATCTCTAGGACACCCTCATAGTTATCATAGTGTATCAGCCACACTGATTATTATGAATTGGAAACGGGATGGCATCAGCAGTTTGTCTTTCGGAATAAAGAGGAACCATACCTACTGATATTCCACTTGTCTATCTTTTAGCCCAGCTGGATGGCAGTATCTAGGTAACCTTGACTGATCTTGGTAGGAAGTCAAGGAAACATCTTGGAAGAAGGCAACAACAAACCATTTTTCTATTGGTGCCAAGAAAACTACATAGTAATTGCTTCAGTCTGCTTTGCAACATGTTGATGTGGATACATAGTTGTGTGTAAAGACATAGTTACCACTATAAAAGAAAGCAAGGTAAAGTAAGGGTAAAGTACTATGAGAGATGAAGTTTGAATGCCATGAGAGTAAATTGCACTGATTTTGAAATTCACTACGTTTCCTAGGATAGGTAACCAGTTTCTACTCTTGGAAACAGTCCTAGTTTAAATTTATCATACTAGTGGCCTGCTTGCAATAATAGCTTGGAGTCCTAAGGTCACATGCCAGATTTTGGATAAATTTGAAGACAGGTTTTTCACCAAGTGACCAACTCTGGCATGAACAAACTCAGATGTTGGATTAAATAAGTGAATCAGGGAACTCCATATTGTATTAAATAATAATTGTTGGGTTGAGATTAGTTTCTTAGCCTGAGAGGTTGATAAGGATGAACGGGCTTTTCATAGATATACACATCAGCTTTTGAAGGACAATTGATTATAGTGAAGATGGTAACTTTTGTCTAAAGGCACTTTATAGGCACCTTGTTCCATTAATTCTAATCAGTTTGGTTAAGTTTTGAAAGATGTACTGCATACTAGTTGAAATGTTGCATTCTTCCAAATGTATAAGCAATACAAACTCAATGGCAAAATAATCTGGTATTTCTAAGGAATGGCAGCAAAGACTCAATGAAATTGTCTAGGTTTTTTCAGCAAGTATTTTTTGGGGAAAAACTCACTTTATGCCTCTTCCTTAGAAATAATCCTTTTGAAAATCTGTTGTTATGGAATAGCTAGTTGAGAAAAAGAAAAGGCCCAAGAAGCACAAAACATGACATTGGTGTGCTTTTTCAATACCATATACACCATAAAGTAAAAATGTGAAACAGAAGTGCTTTATGTTAAATTGAGAAACTGTAAGAATAACAAAAAGTCTTATAATGGCAGGCCAATTGGGCATATTTTTGTTCTATTGCTTAGCTCTTGCTGATACTTGAACTTTTAATTCAATTAAAATCTCCCTTCCCCCAACTAGAGATAAATTGAAATATTTTACTTTGTAGTTTTCAGTTAACTTATCATATAATATTTATTGTATTTTCTAGTGGGAAGACAGCTTTGCAGATGTATAAAGATATTTCTATCCAGCTTCCTCGACCCAACCAAACAGTTGAAAGAAGTCGTAGTAAGACATATCCAAAAAGAACATCAAAAGTGAAACAATTTGGTAAGAAATGTTAAAGCTCCTGTTTGAGTTAGAAATTCAGCAAAGGGAGGATACAGAGGAAAAGCTAAGAAATAAAATAAATCTTGTTGGATCAAATATGTAATTAGAAATAACTGACTTTCTGAAATCTATGCTAATTCTTATTCAAATTATACTGCATTTTCAGCACATGAAATTTGTAGACAATTCTGAATGAATGCCTCTGGATTTAGCAATAGCATAAAGGCTACTAATCTCTGAGTTGGTCCAACTAATCACTGGCCCTTTGAATCAAACTATATTTTATATCGTGGCATAATCTTGATAGCTACCAGATGGGAAACCAAAAAGATCATCATACTGAAATTGGCGTATTGGCTTCATTGGTCATAAATAGTGCCGAATGAACAGTGGTGGGTTCCGGATCCTGTTGCAACCGATACGCTGCAACAGGGCCGGGTGCCCACCATATCCACATGCACAGCATGCGTGCAGCACATGCATGCATACCCACCGCCTGCGACACTCCAGCTGCTCAGCAGAGCGTTGCGCAGGCGCTTCTCGGCTCAAATAGCAGTAAGGAGAACAGGTGGATGGGCGGGCCCTCCAGAGCATTGTACCGGAACGGTACCTGGTGCTCCCAGCAGGCACCGGTACACCCATACCAGGGCATACCGGTCGTATTCCACCACTGCTACTGAACCAGTCAGACCTATTCTCTATTTTTTTATATTAAAACAATATCACTCACATTTGTCTAAATCACAGGCCTTCTCTTATAAACTGCAGATTTCCAGATTGCTGCAAATTTGTAAAATATGAAAAGATTTTAAAATGTCACCAGTGGCATAAATCTAAACCATCTTCATAGTATGGAGAATCAGACACATCTTCCATAATGCAAAGATGTATATCAAATTAATGGAGTAAATTTATTTCATTAATGTGTTGGTTGTTTTAAAAGTAGTACAATAAGGCTAATTCAATTTACAGTGTAGGATATATATGCCATTAAATTATTTGTAAAACTTCAGTTGTTGATAGAGCTTTGACAAGCAATTCTCAGTCTTGTAAGATAATCCTTATTTATACTGGCTGCTTTATATTTAGTTGTTTAAAATAAATCATATCCATTTGGAGCCTTTCCAATTTCTTAGTATGCAATTTATAAATTGCAGCCATTTACAAATTAAACCACAAGGATTTATATAAATAAATGGAAAAAATATTATTTGCAACCTTTATGGTATGTGGAACTGAGAAAAGAATATTGTGTTTTTGAATGACTTTTGGAAGGCTCTTTTTTCTAATACTTTACATTTATCAAGCTATAAAAAAATAAAGTCTCCTCTTTATGCTATGTCTCATTTACCAGGTTTTTTTTAGTTTCATACTCAGTAAAACAATATTTGTCTTCTACTAATAAAAAATGAATCCATTTAATTGTTTTTGCTGTTTAGTGTATGTTTTTGAATAGTTCGCTAAAATTATAAAATTAAAGTTGACTTCTGTCTGTAGAGCTACTCCAGTTGATCGACTGTAACTCACCTCACCTCTGATGAACGGTTCAGCTGGCTGAGTTTTTGGAAAGTTGGAATTTAGCTATGTCTAGAGGGCAAAAATTTGCCTAACCCAGCACTAGCGAATCCTTTTAGTTTTTTTAGTGATATTATTTAAAGACCCCAAGCTAAAATAACATAATAAATGCAGTTTTTAAAATATGCACATTTCTTTTCCTTTTCTGTGGAATAAAGTCAAATATATTGTTTGAACAGAATTTTAATATGCAAGATGCTATTATGTACCTAATGAAATTATTATTAGTATTTACTATTTTTATTCAGTATGAGCTTGTAAATACAGTGTAAATCCCATTTTAATGTTAACTATTTTGAAAAGAGAGGCTGATAAAACGAAACTTAAGAGATAAAAAAGAAATGTGTGGGATATAAGTTTGCAGGATATATGGAGGAAGAAAAGTCAGATTTAAGATAATTCTGCAAAAAGCATCATTAAGGACTATAGCAAAGTATGAAGAGCAGGGCATTAGATAAGCTCTTCAAACCTCTCCAGATAAGGAGAGCACTTGAAATCACTTACATGTTCTCTGGCTTTTGAAAGGACATTTAAGTTTGCATACTTCCTTTTCTTGTCATTTTTGGAAACTTGTTTGTTAACTGCCATTTTCACTTTGTATCAATAAGTTTGATAACACCAAGTGAGTGTTCCTTTACTTGTTAGCAAAATCCTCAATTTAACAATGATTTGTTCAGAGTACTGTTTGAAATTATGTTGCTGCTGCAAAATGGATGTATGACCTATGCCCAAATATATGGTATTGTAGCAGAGGTGGTATTCAGCAGGTTCTGACCAGTTCTGGAGAACTGGTAGCAGAAATTTTGAGTAATTCGGAGAACCGGTAAATGCCAACTCTGACTGGCCCCGCCCCCATCTATTCTCTGCCTCCCGAGTCCCAGATGATTGGGA